AATATGAATAGAAGGGACGTCGACATATTGATGATCGTCGAGCTCGCGGTGAATATGGTGGTGAATTGCTCCATCGATATCGTGCGGAGCATGTTCTTCGTCTTGACGTCGGACACGAGCGATTACCTCTGAATTCCTGAGTGATATTTTCCAGCGAATTCATACGCGTGTTTCTATGTATGATGCAACAATGCGCGTCTTACCACTCCGCTTTTCGGCTCCATCAATCCAGAGTTCAGTTTCCCGCCCGTGTCCGCATTCTTCTTCGATCATTCGCGCGATCGTCTGGCTTTATCAAATTTCTCTCTCTCTCTCTCTCTCTCTCTCTCTCTCTCTCTCTCTCTCTCTCTCTCTCTCCTTCTCCTCTCCCTTTCTTTCGCCTTAAGCGCTTTAAGCGCTTTCGCTTAAATCGCGATGCTCTTTATGTATACGACGAGTGCCTTCGAATATTATGCTCTACTTAACAGTTATGACAATAACAAATTTAAACGCGATAACTCCGCGCTCTCTTGCCGCAACATTCTACGCGCATAGTTTGCCGAAAACACTGCAAGTTCGCGAGTGCCGCTCGGCAATCTGTTCTACCCAGAGACAAGGAAGATAATTATCGAATATAGCCGACAATATCAGCACGCGGAATTTCGAACTGTTCGCATGACAACGAAGTATTCGCGTAAATCACATGTTACAAAGAGAAAGAGAAGAAAAAAGAGAGAGAGAGAGAGAGAGAGAGAGAGAGAGAGAAGCACTGCGGAGAGAAATAATATATTTGAAATGTCGATACTTCCTTTTCCCTCATTTTCTCACACTCTCCGTCTCTCTCGAGCACACGCGAGTGTGCTCATATTTAAATAAATCGACGAAAATCCGCGAAGGAACAAGGACAAATGTGCTGTGAAATATTGGGCGTGATTCACGCGCGCGTCTGATTTTCCACAAACGTTTCGAAATGTCGTTCCCAACTCTGTGCTAGCTAAGTTCCGACGTGTGTTAAGCGAGCGTGCAAATGAAATTTTCGCTATTGATTCAGCTATCAACGCGGTCTGCTCAACTCGTCTGTAACGTGACGTACAATGCTGACGAATAAGAACCTGGTAGCTTATTTAGCCGCGGCGAGAACTGCTGTTCGAGCAGGTGCGGATTCCTGCGTGCAAATCGTCTCTCGAAATGCGAACTCATGTAACGTAAGGCTACGTTTCTAGAACGTGCGTGAGAAATGAATAATTAATCGTAACCGATATAGCCGATGTATATGCGATTCAAACCGGTCAAGTTTCTCAATCAACACGCCAACCGCACGAGCAAATATAATCCGAACGTTAAAATCGGATATTCACTTACAAATCTGTAGTATACGCGAATCATATGCGAGCGCACCGGCCAAATACATGAGTAGCGTAAATACAAATTCGCGTCTGCTTCGATATGGACGAGTATAAAAGCGTCGAAATGAATATAAAACGATTTATCGCCATGAAATGCAGAGTCTGACGGGTGAGCGCAAAACCTGACACAGACATATTTCGCGTTTCGATTACTCACGACTAATGCACACGGCCCCGGCCGCCGTATTGGCAAGCATCGCCTAATAAAAATTATCCGATCAACTTTTAATACGCGCATGAAATTATTTTATTAACGATAACGAGTTTTACCCGCGCATTTGCGCGTAATTTTCCCGAGCAAAAACATAAAAACGTTACCTACAGAAAGTACCGACTTTTATTTCCACGGCAAATATTTATTTGTCAGCTATTTAGAATCGATATAAAGTGTCGAAGCATCGATAATTCTCACTCAAGCGCAGACGAACTTTTTTATCTGAGGTAATATATTAAAGCTGTATCTAGGGCAAATTATCGGAACACAATAAATTATGTATGAAAATAATCTGCTAACTTATTTGCTATTTTTTGCCTATATTTTGCCGAGAGGTCATTTTTTGCTCCTATCATTAAAAAGTTTGACATACGAGCTAGATCTCCCGGCGAAATAAACTGACGGTGGGGCACTATGGGTAAGCAACGGGGCAGAGAGATCGGTCGAAGACAAATAAATCGCAACGATGGTGCAGTCCCTTCTCTCTCTCTCTCTCTCTCTCTCTCTCTCTCTCTCTCTCTCTCTCTCTCTCTCTCTCTCTCTCTCTCCCTGAGCTCACGCTCACGCCGCACCGAAATATATCGCTCCGAATTAATAGCATGTCGTGACGGTGCATCGCCGCAAGGGCGATTCAAGTCGAACGATATATCGCGTCTCGCGTCCTCGTTGCGCACCAATTCTTAGTGCTAGTGCCGTTAGGTAGTTTGCGCTTCGCGAAGCGTCCACGAAGAGGATACGTCGCAGGGTAAGACTTTAATAAGTGTCGCCAAGTAATACCGACCTATTCCGTCTGTATTTACGTAGGTCCTGCTACGTCCCAAAGCTTAGAACGCTCAAACACCGTCAAACTGTCACGTTACTCGCAAGTGCTTACAAGCCCGTTCAAAAGAGTCAAAGATCGCGAAGGTGAGACAGACACCGGGATTGAGTCGCAACCGTACGTGTGTCTATGCGGAAACGCGAGTGAGAAAATCCTCAGTCTCACGTATCGTTCCGTCATTATCCGACTGCGACGTAGTGGAACTTTTGACGACGTAGCAAAATCAAAGACATCGGTAATCGTGAACACGAAGCGAAGGGTATCAAGTATCGCGCGCAGTTACGACGCGGTGCCCCTCTAAAAGCTCGACCTTTTCGTTGAGGCTCGTGCCTCAACCGGGTGCTGCTGGCAGTTAACGATTCCAAGAGGTGACCAGCTTCGAAGTCGCGTCACGAGCTCGCGCGCTCACCTAACCTATTGGGATGCTGCTCGGAGCTATTGACATTAGGTGACGCGTAATTGCTTCTTCGGTATTGCATTGAACCCAACCTAACCGACCACCTATTGAGATCTTAGCGAATCGTCATCAATCTTTTCATTGTATTCTTCACGCGGCTAACTATAGCGTATTATATACTCTCTACCGATTATTCCTATCTTTTTTGTTATATTTCGGTGTTACACTAAATAATCGGTTAAGTTGTACGCTATTGAACTAATAATTTCGATATCTCTCACCCGCAGAGAACACATTGCTCGAAATTTCTCCGCATTATGAGGCCCGAACGTGTTTCTGATAGCTGAAATATTTCTCTGCAATGAGAACGATAAATGCTGATGGAGAAGCAGCGGCCTCCTTTTCAGATTACATTAGCATAAAAGAGTCGGCCTAGTGCCTTAACTTTTACGTGAGAATACTAAATCCTTCTCTTCTCCTCTCCTCCCCCTCCCCCTCCCCTCTCTCTCTCTCTCTCTCTCTCTCTCTCTCTCTCTCTCTCTCTCTGCTTTCCTCGTACCGCGAACATTGTTCGCGTCCCTCTCGCGATTTCAAGTCGAATAGATATATCTTTCGGCGGGACTCGCGAAATAACGTCAAAAGTTTGATTGTACGGCGAGAGGTTTTAACGAAAAAACCGTATGAAACGAGGACCAATAAGCGATCCTCTACGCTTCTCTACGCGTCGTTGCCGGTGTAAAACTGACCTACGAGTCGACTGAAATTGGGATAAACGTAGCGCGTAATAATTGTTCCGTGCTTTTCGCGTCTCCGAATGAAAAGAAGACCTCCGACGAATTCGGAGATTTCGCGTTTGAAATAACAAACTTGTGAGATTTTTAGAGAATCAAGAAACCGATATGGGAGCCGTGGTTGACACGTAGCACACAGCTCGCGCTATAAATACTCAAATACGAGAAATTTGCCGTTTCATTCAATTACTTCCACGATGTTTAATTATACTTTAATTAAAATCCTCGCGCACACACCCGTGGGAAAGTTTAGAAGTTAATACCCGTAGAGATGGCGATACTTTCATATTAGCGGGGCAGTCGGCTGACTTACGAGCGCCAGTATAAAACGAGTTAATTACGTTACGACGGCAGCGACGCGAGCTGCACCGCTCCCGAGCAGCCTTCTACTTTCTCGTTGTCTTACTTTCCGACGCGCGGAAGCGTCCCGTATTCAAGTCTCGCGCGTTTCGCGTGAAACATTCGTCTTTGTGACGTCAAAGATCACTTATCTTTATACACGTCACCGTTTCACTTGTACGGCTTAACTGCGTCTTTAACGTTAACTTCTTTAACACGTCAGCGAGACTGCCGCGCTCTGATCTTCATTTGCTCGTTGAAAAGCCTGACACACTGAGGAAGATTGAATGATTGAAGATACCCCGTAACGTAAACGTAAAATGCAAAGATTTCCCTGACGCGTATAATTTTTCACTTCGTTATTTCATTAATTTCCTATTGGTCGAGGTACATCTCTCTAATTCATCAGACGCGATTAGTTAATGAAGCCAACGTCTTACGCGTCAATTAGTGAGATGCGCCGGTGTCGTAGTTAACGGCAGCCGCTGTGATGCGCTAATTAATTTATCGTTATTAACACAAAAATACACCGAACACACGTGAATGAGCATTCACTGCGAACTAATTACGAGCGACAGTTCGTGCACGATAAAACCGACGATAACTGCGGACTCTCTCTTTCTCTTTCTCTCTCTCTCTCTCTCTCTCTCTCTCTCTCTCTCTCTCTCTCTCTCTCTCTCTCTCCCCCAACGGCGCTGCTTCTGTCAACGGCGTTGATTAACCGGATATAGATTTATCGCTCGTCCGTGTGAATGAAACTCGCGCTTCCGCGGGCTCTCGCGATGATTTTCTGGACAATTTAACATCGCGCGGCTCAACGTCGTAATAAAGATCTCTCGTTCACGAGAGAGAGAAGTCTACTTTTTACATCGACACGAAGGGGAAGAACCGTGCCACGTCAGAGCTTTCCACTTGGCGGATTACTCGACGCAATGAATTCGCGGATTAGAGTGGATCCGAGAGATAACCCAGCAAGATAGCCTGCGTACGACGTCGTCGTCCAGGCGTAAACAAGCCCGTTCACTTATTCGCGATTTCCTCTCCTGTGTTTCAGATAACAACAATGCCGAGGCCGTGGTACACAGGCCGCAGCAGCGGGAACAGATAAGGCAGCGAAGAAGGGCCACGCGTCGAGCCAGTCATGTGTAATGTCATGTGGCTCCTTCGGCTCCTGACGATCTACTGCCTAGCTCATTTTTCGGCATCCGACACGCACACAGGTGGGTGCATCTCGACAGTAAAAGCCGCGGGAACAGAATAAAATTCATAACGCGAAATCGTCGTTGCGAGTGCAACTCTCTACGTTCAATTCGCGTTGCGACTGCGACCTATACTGACGTGGCATATCGCAAGAAGGTGAAGTGAAAATCTAGATAATTCATCCGAATTTCTGATTAAATATCAAAACACGTCAACACATCGAGGAGGATTACTTGCAATAATTATCGATTAAATATAGAATTATTATTTCTTTAGCATTGAGATCTACGCGTTGAATATTATGCTACTACAACCGCGAGAACATGACATGAATAAGGCGCGCGCGATGTAGAAACTATAAGAGTAGAATAAAAGTGCCGAAATATCGTTACGAGCGATTCTATCTTCCGTTGATTGCTGTTACAAAGTGCGCGCGAGCATCGGTGAGTGATAAGAAGCTGAAGTAGAAGCATATAAATACATACGTACACGAGCTGTGGGGCATGAGATAAACGAACGCCGCCGAAAGTATGTAGTTTTTAAACTATCAGCGCGACAGGAGCACGGCAGCTTCGCGAGATCGATTTATAGATCACGTATGAATCGTATTTATGATGTGCACTGCGCGCACAGCACGTCCGAGTAATAACAGCGCCATTCCGAATCCCCCTAGTGCTCGGCTGCTCGGTGCACACCGACGCAGGATGAGTTATGGTAACACAATGTCGACCGCCATAAAGATCGTATCTAGAATTTCGAATCGGTCGCCCTCCGACTTTTAGCGCAGAGGGTGCGCGCGCGCGCGCGCGACAACGACCAGCTGTTCTCGCGTGACACTGCTGAACGAGTGTAAATCGCTGCGAAAGCTGTCGCTGCTCCACGTACGCGATATAAATCAGTGTGATTGTTAAATGATAAAAATCCCCAGAGATGCAACCAGACGATTCAGGCGATTAAGCGAAATCGCTCACACGCTTGGAGTCGATAAAAAACAGAGGGATGTCCCGCCAGCCCGAGAGAACGGCGCTTTGCGCCGTAATAACGGCTAACATATACATATATGTATCTCCGCCGCGCCTTTAATTCATAAAAAGGAATCTCGCCGAAAGGTAGGATCTGAGTCGCGCGGTAGCGCGAGACATCGTTATTAAAAGGCACGCGAGCGTTTTTGCCGCAGATAAGATTTAACAGGTGCGGCGGTCCTCGCGAGTCGTAACGTACTTTTACAGCTCCGTGTTTTACCCCGGAATTCTCATTTTCGCGAGCATGTTACGCGTACGTGCCATCTGCCATAATCCAACCCTCCCTACCCGGGAACAGAGACGATGCTTATTCGTTGTTCTTCGTACTCCGTTTATCACAGTCGAAACATCACCCGATGAAAACACCAACAACGTTGCGGTGTGGTACAATGCGTCGCGTCGCGTCGCGTCGCGTCGTTTCGTGAAGAGCTTTTCTCGATAGACGTTCCTGCTACTGTAAGACCGTCACAATTCATGGCACACGATAAATCATAGTCGTTTAGTACACGTGCGTTCACCAAGTCTCGTATCGAATGTGTCGGACATTCCACCGACACCCGATACACGCTCGGTCGAGTCGGACGATTTTATAATTGCGATCACTTCGTACACGTTGAGGTTGTCAGTCACGTTGTATTTTCATCAGCACGTGAGTCAAATGTGTAAAAGTTGCACGACTCAAATGTCACGTTTGTCACTTAAAGATGTGTCACCTAAAGATTATGGTCAGATGTCACGATGGAAGGGCAGAGAAATAGAAAGAATGACAGAGAGAAAGAGAGAGAGAGAGAGAGAGAGAGAGAGAGAGAGAGAATAAGAGAGGAAAATCGTTAGTGCGCACGTGTGACATAGTTAATTACAGCTCACGCGAAATCTACCGGGATCTAAAACACATGTGCCGTCCGGAGAAGAGCCTATCTCGCGAGACGCGAGATGAATCCCTATGAAATTTAGATTACGGTCGAATGTAAATCCTGGGGCGCGGCAGTATGTAAATCCGAGAGACGATAATAACACCCGAGCGTTTTCTCTTATTACCTCGTAATATCGTAGATACGCGCAGATGCGGCGCCGCGCGTTGTTGCTCCGCGTTGCACGTTGTTGTTGCGTGTCGCGAATGAGTGGCATAATTAATCACACGTTGCGATACGATCCGTCGATAAGTGACGTAGGAAATAGAAGCCAGCGTTCGAATGCGCGATATTTCACGCAGCGACGTGAACTCGCGTTGGGACCGACCAATTAAATACCGCGGACACCGGGCTGGATTAAAAGTCCCGAGCCCTAAACGCCAAATCGAATTTATCGCGGGCGAGCGTCATTGCGTGTTCGTAAATCATCGCGTCCGGGGCCATTCGTCTTCGTTCGCTTCTTTGGATGCGCGTCTACATCGTTTACTCGTAACGTGAACCTTATTTCGCCCTATTTTCTCCATCCCTCCAACCCCGCGGAGACCCTCGCGCGGCTGGCTGCCGCGCCGATGTACTCGGATCGAAACGCAATCGTTTACTACATAGTTTATACGTACGACGCGCGTTCGCTGCTGGAGAATCTCGCGGCGATGCGGTCTCTTCTGTTGAAGACACACGCTATCTTCCCCTCCCCCTCCTCTCTCTCTCTCTCTCTCTCTCTCTCTCTCTCTCTCTCTCTCTCTCCCGATAGAGGCGGTTATTGTTCCTCGTAAGGAGGAAACGTGCTGAACGACCCTCGTTTCCGTCTTCGCGTTGTCAGATGCAACAGTGCCGATGTCGGTTTGCGCGACACCGGGACGAGGGATCGATATAACAAGCGCTCAAGCTTCGTTTTGTGCAGCTCGTTATCGCGCAACGTAATTGTTGCGAGAAAGTCCGTTAACATGAACGTTGGAAAAAATTGTCGCGCCCTCCGACATCGAGTTGCTCCTTTCCCACGAGTGTTTAGCGTTAATTAGCGTGCTGTCAATAACCGGAGTTCGCGCGAATTACACGGCGCTCTTCGCCGTATTGGCCGTCGATTATTTCACAACGAATTTAGCATTATCGGAAATGTCGGAGCAGCGAAGTGTTACGGGGCGTCGAAATGTTAGCGCGCGGCTGGCGCGTGCTCTAAATTGCAGTGAATAAATTTATTACATATCCTGCGCAGGCCTCGAACACGCGGATATAACGCGATATTTCAGTTATGCGTGTCACCGGTAACGAGGTTATATTTTATTTCGGATCAAACGAAATTACAGTTATATAAACCCTCCCTGTGTTTCATGATCTCACGTGCGTGCGCAGCTTCTAATTCAATCATTCTTTATTACTTCTGCATTAACAGTAATTACATTATTATATGGTTATGCAACATGCAACTTTATCGAGAGTTATCGGGGCAATTGAAAATTTTATGCATTTACAACGTCGTTTACAACGAACTGGCAGGCCAACTTGCAGCGACGTCGATACTTCATTACGTACAATTTCGTTTGCTCTTCAACTGGCTAGCGTAGACAAGAGAATGACTAACTTTCAATTAGCGCGATTATCTTGCGCCGTGAGACAGTTATGACTTTCGTATCAGCGTATTCGCGGTGTCAACTCAGTTGTAAGTAATAAAGAGCGAAGAGAGAACTCGTAATTGCGAGATATCTAAGTTTAATGAACGGCGCGCCGAATAACGACAGCATCGATCGAAATTGTGAAGCACGTAGCGCGTAAAAGTCGCCGGCTATCGTCGATTCTTGGCCACGAGCTGCATCTTTCAATTGGCGAGTCTTCCACCTCGAAGGAGAGCAATTTTGTTAATAACAAGCCGACGCGACGCTCAGAAAACCCCTAGCGATGATCGGAATTGCCATTTCTCGAGACTTGCAATGGACGATTGAATCAATGACGGGGAAAAAGCAAGAAAGAACAAAGAGTATTGCCGAAAGGTAACGCTCGTAAGAATTTTCAAATTTCCAACGCACACATAGGACAGACACGCGCGCTTTCCTAAGGAAGCTGAAGATTTCGCCGCAAAACGACAGAATTGCATCGACTACCAAATACCGACGACGCGACGCGACGCGACGCGAGTCTCTCTCTCTCTCTCTCTCTCTCTGTCTCTCTCTCTCTCTCCAGCCGCTACGTGAGCGTAACGTCGAGCATCGAGCACAGAAGGCCGGCAGAATGCGGCGGCAGCATGGATGTTCGAAACGCGTGCAGAATTTCTAATCTATTCGGTGCGCCGCGACGTGGGCGCGTACGCAAATCATGAAAGTGACAAAGCGATCGGCGCGCCGACGTGTGCGATTAATTCGCCGGCGGATCGATGCGCGCCGCGTTGCAAGCATCGCGGAATGCTGTTCCGCGTGTCCTCGCATACACCGTATAAATGCGTCTACGTTGGACATGCTGAGAACGCGCGAACACACGTGCACGTACCCCTTGATGATACGGTATACCTGCTACATCGGTCCATCCATCTCTCCTACGGTCTTCCTTCTATATTATGCATATACTCTTCCTTTATCCCTCTCTCTCTCTCTCTCTCTCTCTCTCTCTCTCTCTCTCTCTCTCTCTCTCCGTCTCACTCCCAGTCTAGACACTACGTAGTCACAACCAAATCCGGACGTTACTTCGTATCAATAGGACGACCACATGTGTGTGAGTGTGTGTCTGTGTGCGTCTGTATGTGTGCGCGCGCGCGTGTGTGTGTGTGTGTGTGTGTGTGTACAGGACGTATTGACACGACGTGTAGCGCACGTGTAGCGCAAGCTCGCGTGCGTGGCTACATGGCGTATACGATACTCGCGGAGCGCAGTGAGTGAACCTACTCGACATGCAACCGAACGTTTGCCGTGAGTCCATCCATACGTACTTGCATTTCTCGCAATTTATAGTATCTGCAGCGCGCGTTACGCCCGCAATGTGTTCGTCATAAATCGGCTAGTTCTACGGCCGGTTCTCTCAGTGGTATCAAAGGTGCAGAGTAATACGTGCGATATATTCTCTATGTTCGCAAATATTATACGAACGTCGCGCGATCGAGTG